TTTCACCATGTTGACCAGGATGGTCTCGATCTCTTGACCTCGCGATCCACCCGCCTCGGCCTCCCAAAGTGCTGGGATTACAGGCGTGAGCCACCGCGCCCGGCCCCTGGATTGTATTCTTACTAAGATACTACCTCATCACACACCATCACTGCAGCGCCAGTCTGGGAATCAAGAACCTAGGAAATTCATCTGACAGCTCCACTGTAGGCAAATCACATAGTCTTTCTGGGGCACAGTTAACTCACAATATAACATGAGGGTTGGATTCAATTGCTGAGGTTTCTACAGGCATTCTCAAACCAAGGGCAAGTTTCTATTTCATCTCCTTTCTCTTCCACTTTCTGCCCTCCGGTGGAGGTGCCACAGGGACTATGAAATTAAAGTAGCGAAGTGAATGGATTTGAGATAGACAGGGTCGATCAGTCTCCCTCACTTTCCCACTTTTAGTTCCTCTGACAACTAAAGCTAACTGCATTAGTGGTATAAAATAAACATTTGTTAAACCTCCTTTTAGCAAGAAAACCCAACCAGTTCTAGATACCAACAGTACCAGAATGAATAGCTGAGGTATTCTTTGCATGAGGGTGATGATATGAAAAAAAGAGGGTAAAGATATTTTATATTCTTTGGAATAAACTTTTAAAATATAAAGAATCATAAAACTGTCAGAAGCCTCAAAACATATTCAAACTGATTTGAATATGCAGTGTGCATGAGTGATCCCCCTTTAATGACCTATCTGAATTATTCTTTAAAAAAAACTAGCTATGTTTGCATTTCAGCTTCAAGTGCCAACCATCATCTAGTTTCTTTAAATAATTTCACAAAAAAGAAACATTTCTAGCCTACTGAAACTTTCATTATCTAGCACTTCAAGCATACATCAACCAACTAGAGAATTCAAAAGAAAAACACACAAACCTTGAAGAGATTTATGGAAACATTAAAGGTATTGAATACACCTCAGGAAAGGGTGATTTTACAGAGCAAACTTTGGTCACAAATCACATTACAGAACAAATTAGTACTTCGTACTACAACTGAAGATAATTTAAGAACAAGAAAGATCTTGGAGAAGCAAGCAGCATCCCAAGATGATAACATGCAAGCAGTAGCTAAAACAGGCTACGCCATGGCTCATCTAGCTGTTCATTCAACTTATACTTATTTTGGGTTTGCTGGCTGCCAGATGAACAACCTAGACAGAGTTCCTGCACTCACCAAGGCTTTCAGCCTTGTGGAGGGTATTAAACAAATACACAAACATGTAAACTATGAAAAAATACTTGCAAATAATGTGAAAATACCTTTGGGGAGTTAGAATGTAATCATTTCAGCTGAGATATAAAGACTCAAAGCCTTCCAAAAATAAAAATAAAAACAGCAAGAAACAGGTAAACTGGAAATTTACCTGTTGCAGAGAGGGGAGAGTTTAGTCAAAATGGGGAAAAGAACATACCCACATCTACCATAATACACTCTAGCCCATTGACATATTCAGTATCTGATAAAAGCAATTCATGTAGATGTTGTTTGCGGTACATAATATTTCTGGGACATCAATCCCCGATTCTAATATACCATAGTAGTCATTAAGAAGGAGATAATAACTGACCCGTAAGAAATGTCAAAGGAATTTTATTTTTAGCCCTCTCACACATCTAGTACTACAGAGGGGTCCTGTACTGCAATTTCACTGCCTCAATATGCCCCTACCTTTGGCCAGCATCCTACTTAGTCCTCCCAGGGATGCAGCCCGTCAATGACAGTGACCATATGTGCAAAAAGTAAGATGCCTCACTTCACAACAAATTTTTTTTTCTGATTTGTGAATCAATTTGAGAAGTCTTAAAGATATGAGGTAAAGTCACTTATCTATGTTATTGCAGCTAAGCTGGTCTATGTGCTATGTGCCAGGCACTTCATGAAGTGATATATAATTTTCTAGATTTTTAATTCTTGAAACAAATCTAGTTTCCTTTGTCATGAGAAGTGTAATAGGCTCACCTCATATATTATGAGGATTACATATAGAAAGTGCTTTAAAATAGTTGTAGACACATAATAACAGTTAAAACTTACTGGGCACTTGTTAATTCTTATTGTCACCATTTTACAGAAGAGGAAACTGAGGCTCACAAAGTTAAAGAGCTTGCCTAAGATCTCACAACTAGAAAGTGGTAGAAGCAGAATTGGAACCTAAGAAATCTGGGACCACAAACTAATCTGTACCTTCTGTAGCAATTATTAATAGTGATGAAAATGTCCAAGGAGTTTACAGCTTAGAATTGCACTCTGAATTATCATTCACCCAGTAAATATTTACTGAGCACTGTAGTAATAGTATCGCCACACCACTCTCCACCAAACTAATGTCCACCCAGAGCCTCAGGATGTCACCTTCCTTCTGTGGAAATAAAGTCTTTGCAGATATAATTTGTTACAGTGAAATCATATTAGAATAGGGTAGCCCTAAATCCAAAGAGATGATCCTTCTAGGAGACAGAAAAGGACACACAGAGACACCGAGTAGAAGGCTATGTGAAGATGGAGATGCTGAAATGATGTGCTATGAGCCAGGAAACATGGAGGATTGCCACCCACTGCCAGACGCCAAGAGAGGCATTTTCTTTGTCTAGACACCTGGCACAGTGAACTCAATAGAAGACTCTGTCCTCACTACGCATATGATCTGTGTTGGGGGTTCTTCCACATAAGCAAATAAGTGAAGATTAAGCCAGGCTAAGAAGGCAGTAGGAAAGATGGGCCACCCACAGAGCCTCCAGAAAGAACCAACCCTGCTGGCACCTTGGTTTGGGACTTTTGGACACCTAAACTGTGAGAGAATAAATTTCCATTGTTTTAAGCCACTTGTAAATAGTATTTGTTACAGCAGCCCTAGGAAACAAATACTAGCATCTACTATGCGGCCAGGCCTGGTTCTCTACTCTAGGTTTATAGTAATAAATGAAACTGCATTCCTGCCCTCATGGAGTTTACATTCCAGGGAAAGAGGTAGATAATAAATAGGCACTTAATATAAGGACAGGTACTATTTAGTGCTATGAGGAAAAAGTATTGTGAGAAGATGGAGGATGGCCAGATGAAAGTGACTAGAAGGGCTTTGGAAATATTCGGTGATATATTAAGAGTGTACATACATGGAATACAGGGGTGTTAACTCAAATGAATCTGGACTGTGGAGTTTCAAACTGCATATAATCCTTCACGGCACGACTTAAAATACTAATTGGAAATTTAGCAACAACAGCAGCTCGGTAAGGAATAGACCTGAGGCCGGGCGCGGTGGCTCAAGCCTGTAATCCCAGCACTGTGGGAGGCCGAGGCGGGTGGATCACGAGGTCAAGAGATCGAGACCATCCTGGTCAACATGGTGAAACCCCGTCTCTACTAAAAATACAAAAAATTAGCTGGGCATGGTGGTGCGTGCCTATAATCCCAGCTACTCAGGAGGCTGGGGCAGGAGAATTGCCTGAACCTGGGAGGCGGAGGTTGCGGTGAGCCGAGATTGCGCCATTGCACTCCAGCCTGGGTAACAAGAGAGAAACTCCGTCTCAAAAAAAAAAAAAAAAAAAAAGAAATAGACCTGAACTTGCTCAATA